CTCCGCGCGAATCATCTGACGAGGAGCGCCGGCGCGGCGGCGTCCCGCGCCTCGTCGTCGAAGATGGCGAAGGGGAGCGCCGCGGGCTGCTCGTCGTCCTCCGGCGCGTCGTCGAAGGACCGGGGCCGCGGCTTCGCGGACGCCGCGGCGCCCGCGTCGAGCACGGATCGCGGCGAGCCCGCGGGCGGCGGCGCGGCGGGGCTGCCGCTGCGGAGGCGCAGCGGCGTCGCGCGGGGCTTCAAGGCCAGCGCGGCGGGCTTCTTCTTGGGCGTGGCGCCGGCGCCGCGCTTCGTTGGGCCGTCGCCGCCGTCCTTGCCGTCGCGCGGATCGATGTTCTCCTTGTTCTCGTCGGCCCACGACGAATAGACGCGGCGCGGCGCCGCGGCGTGCTTGGAAAGGCGCGGCATGGGACGTGCACGCGCGGTGGCGACTGACGACGACGCGGTACCAGAGCACCAGGCGACGCGAGAGCGGGACAATTCGCGTAAACCGCGCTTTTTCAACGCGTTCGAACTGCTCATCAACGTTGGCTTATTTCCTTCAACGCTGGTTCGGCCAAGCAAGCATGTCCAATTCAAGAAGCCGGTTCACCATTGACCCACGTGAGCGCGAGAGAGGCGGCCCTCGCGCGCGGACGCGCGCTCTCGCAAAGGAGTCCACTCGGCGGCTACGGGGACGACGCCGCCCCACCCCACGACGAGACGACGACGAGAGTAGCCTCGAAGAATGGAGGCGAGAGTAGCCTCGAAGAATGGAGGCGCTCCCGCACGAAGTTACTTAGGCGTGCGGCGGCAGCGCTTGCTGTGGGGCCTCTGGTGGTCGGAGCGGCCGCAGGCGGGGCAGGGGCGGACCGGCCCGCCGCTCATGCCCGGCTGTGCGCCGCGCCGCCGGGGGCGGCGCGGCGCCGGCGCCGCCGCGCGCTCCGCCGCCGCCCAGCGCTCCGCCGCCGCCCAGCGCTGCGCCTCCATCACCGCGCGCTCCGCCGCCGCCGCGCGCTCCGCCGCCGCCGCGCGCTCCGCCGCCGCCGCGCGCTCCGCCGCCGCCGCGCGCTCCGCCGCCGCGCGCGTCTCCTCCTCCGTCGGCCCGAGGCGGACGCCGCCCTGGTGCTGCGCCACGAGCGCCCGGTGGGCGTCGTCGAACGACAGTGCCTCGAGCACCGTCGACGGCCGCGCGAGCGCCGTCGCGATGGTCTCGACGAGCTCGAAGAGGGCCGCGGTCTGCGCCTCGGCCTGCTCGTCCGTCATGGTCCGCGGCTTCGTCGCCTCCTGCACGTCGAGCAGCAACGTCCCCTCGGACGTCCGGTCCGTCTCGGCGATGAGCTTGGCCAGGAGCATGAGCCGCGCGGTCGCGCGCGCGTGGAGGCGGTTCGCCGCCGGCGCGTCGCCGACGAGGCCCTGGGCCTCGTGGAGCTCCGGGTCCACGACGTTGTCCATCTCCAGCTCGTCGCAGCGGAACATGACCGCGGCCGTCGGCTCGATGAGCGTGACGCGCGCGCACGTCTTGCTGTTCTTGCCGAAGCTCGTCGGCGCCTCCGCGAGGCCCTTGGGGAGGCGGGCGTAGGCCGCGAGGATGCGGAAGACCGCTTCCTTCACCCCGTCCTGGTGCCAGGTGAGCAGGTGGTGATTGGCGTAGAAGTGCAGGAGGACGCGCGAGATGCGCAGGCCGAAGATCGGCGCGAGCTGGATGAGGAGGTCTAACACGGTCCGCTCGAACATCTCCATGTTCCGCTTGCTCTTGCCGCCGCCGCCGCCGCGCATCTTCGCGAAGCAGTGCGTCGCGAGGTTGAGTTTTTTCGTGCCGTTGCTGGTCCAGTCGACGCCGTCGGCGCCGACGGCCGCGAGCGTCTGCTCGACGCACTCCTCGATCGCGCGCGTCGCGAGCAGCCGCCGCTGCGGCGCCGGCGACTTGAGGTTCTTCATGGGCACGCCGTTCTGGTTCGGGCCGCCCTGCCAGCTCTTGCTGCGCGAGCCCGGCCGCGCCTTCGTGTCCCAGTCCGTGACGTTGCCGACGACCGCCGACTTCGCGAACACCGGCGACAGCGGCGTCTTCCCGGCCTGCGCCGAGACCGCCTTGGCCAGGAGGCGGACGGCGGCCTTGACCTTGCCGTTCGCGTCGAAGCAGTCCTCGATCTGGTGGATCTCGCACTCCGCGAGCGCCGCGGCGACGCACGCGGCCGCGTCGGCGCCGTAGGACTCGGCCATGCGCTCGAAGACGACGTCCTCGACGACGACCTCGTCGTCGTCGAACTCCTCGACGACGACCTCGTCGTCGTCGGAGTCCGAGTCCTCGTCCGAGTCCTCGCTCGAGTCCTCGGAGTCGTCGTCGGAGGAGCCGGGCGGCGCGCGCTCGCCGTCGGACATGCCGTCGGCCAAGGGCTCGGGCGGCTGCTTCTGGATGACGACCACGGGCGAGTCCGGCGCCTTCTTCGCGGCCTTGCGGCGGCGCGCGGCGTCGCCGCCGGGCGCCTCGCGCTTCTCGCCGACGGACGGCACGTGCTTGTCGTCGGACGGCGCGCCCCGCGGCTCGGTCATCGCGACGACGTCGCCGTCGAGCATGGACACCGCCACGGACTGGCCGTCGACGATGCCCGACTGCAGGAGGAACTCGAGCGCGTCGGGGTCGTCGTCGTCGGCGGCGGCGTCGTCGTCGAGCGCCATGGCGTCCGGCGGGGATGGGTAGCCGAAGCCGTCGGAGGGATCCCGGAGGAAGACCTCGTGGAGCGCGCCGGGGTCGTCGAAGCCGACGGACGCCACGCGCGGGCCGAGCGGCGCGGGCGGCACGGTCATCGTCGCGTGGTCCGTCGCGTCGATGTCCTCGAACATGGGCTCGGGCTGCGCGTTGCCCTGCTCGTCGATGATGCCGGCGAGCCGGAGGAGGTCGGAGCTGTCGACCATGGCGTCGGAGCTGCCGCCGCGCATGCAGGAGGACCTCGAGCGCGCCCGGGTCGTCGTCGGCGGCGGCGGCGTCGTCGAGCGCCGCGGATGCGCAGGGCCGAGTCCGGCGGCTGCGGCAGGCCGAGCGCGAGGATGATCGAGCGCCGCGGCGGGCCGGCGTGCACGATGAAGGTGAGTGTTGCGAGAGCGCGCGAGCTCGCGAGCAAAAGCCGCGGATCACCTATGGAGCATCGATTTCGCAGGCGTGCGTCGAATTTTCGCGAGCGAGCGTCGTGCCGCGACATTCGCATGCCGCGGCGGCTGTTGCAAAGGCATGGACGCCGCACACGCACGGTCGCCGCGCGCGGTAGCCGCTGGAAGTCACCGAGCCTGGACAAAAGACCCACGGAGGCTCTGCTGCGAGCGAAGCCGATCAATCCGATCAACATTGCCCTCAACCTAGGACCTCATAGGCTTAAAATGCATGGTTTTGCAGCACTTCCACGCGTCGCAGCGCGACCGCAGGCTCCCATGGCTGCCGCCGAGTCGCGTCGCGGCTGTCGCTCGCCGCCTTCGTCTCGTCTTCGCGGCGCGGCGCCGGCGGTCCCCGCCGCCGGCGATCGCCGCCGTGTCCGTCGCGCCGCCGTCGCTTCTTCCGCCGTAGAGCCGCCGTCTGGGCCATTCCAGGCGCTCGGGCGCGCGGGCGCCGCAGAGCGTATGCCCATCGCACCTCCCTATTTGAGTTTCGCCGGCTTCCCTATTTGAGTTTCGCCTAGGACAGTTTCTGGCCGCACGGCGGCCCCGGCGCGGCTCGGGACCGCGGCACCGTCGCGCGCAGTGCCACTGACGCATAGCGGCGCCACATCGGCGGCCACCGCACCACAGCTCACCGTAGCTGGCCGCGCGCGGCGCCGCAAGCGGCCGCCACTGACGCATAAGCTTGGCGCTTTTTGAGTGGTGATGATGATGCTGATATTTGCTGAGAGCATGGCCGCGAGTCCAGCCCCGCGCCGCGCGACGCGCACGTTCAGAGCTGCACCGAAGCGCTCATTACTGTCTCGCATTGCAGCGGTTCGACAGCAGCAACACGGTCGACGCGTCGGCGGCTCCTGCGGCTACGGCGGCGCCGCGGCGGAGCGCCTCGAGGAGAGACCGAGCGCGGCGCCGCGCCGCGGCCACGGCCGCATCGGGGCCGTCGCCGCGCTGGACGGCCTCGCGACGACGAGTCGTGGCGCCGCGGACGTTTCGGCCGCGCGTCTGCGCCGAGCTCGGGAGCGCGATCGTCGCCGCCGCGGCCGCGCGGCGTCGCACGTCGACGCGCTCGCGGCCCGCGCGGACGCGGCCGGCGCCCGCGAACCGGACAGGCGGTTCGCGTCGTGGCCCGCGTCGTGGCCCGCGGAGCCGAAGGCGCGGAGCGAGCCGCCGAGCCACGCCGCGGCGTCGGCCGCGCGCGGCGTCAGGAGGCCGGCGCGCGGCGCGCCGCCGCCAAAGGCGCCGCCCGCGAAAGCGGCAGCGGCGCGCTCGCCGCCCGCGACGACGCCGAGGCCCAGGACCGCGAGGCCGTCGTCGTCGGAGGCGCCGCGCTCGGCCGCCGCGACGACATGGAGCTGGTCCGCGTCGCGAGCCGCCCGCCCGGCGCCGCCCTCGCGGGCGCCGGGTCCGCGCTCGAGGTGTGCTACGGCGCGCGCCACCGGTCGAACACGGCCGCGGCCGTCGTCGACGCGTTCGCGGCCGACGTGACGGTGACCGCGGCCGGCGACGGCGCGCGCGGTCTCGTCCGGGCCGACGAGCTCACGGCCACGTACGCCTTCGGCCGCGGCGCGCGCGCGCTCTTCGCGCGCGGCTCGCCCTACGTCACCGTCGAGCTCGACCGCTCGACGGACGTCGAGCTCGGGTCCGCGGCGGGCGTCGCGTTCGTCGTGCCGCTCGGCGCCGGCGCCGTGCCGGACGACGCGGGCGGCCGGGGGGGCGCCGTGCGCGCGCGCGGCCCACGAGGGCTGCAGCGGCCTCTCGAGCGACTGCTGCTCCGCGTCGGAGGGCGTCTTCCTCGAGCGCCGCGGCGGCGGATGGCGGCGGCCCGCGGCCGAGGCCGAGGGCCGGAGCTTCGGGCTGACGCTCGGCGACGGCGCGCGCTGTTGTTCCGCCTTCGCGGGCGCCGCGATGGGCGCCGGGCTGACGGAGCCGCGGGCGCGTCCAGCGACGCGGAGGAGCGCCTCGCGGCGAGAGCGCGCCGCGCTCGACGGCGGCCGCGCCGACGCCCGCGCCGACGCCCGCGCCGACGCCCGCGCCGACGCCCGCGCCGACGAGCTACTCGCCGCTCGCGCCGACGCCCGCGCGGACGAGCTACTCGCCGCTCGCGCCGACGCCGACGCCGTCCGTCGTGCCCCTCGCGTACAAGTTCTTCGCCATGTTCATCGACGACGCGTTCGTGGACGTCGCGGATCGACGACGCGTTCGCGCACGTCGCGGAGGAGCCGTTGAAGTACCGGCTGACGCAGCGCGACGACTTCGTCTTCCCCATGACTCTCTACCAGTGCAACACGCTCCACGTCGACAAGACGCGGTCCAACGAGTTCAAGCTGCTCCGCGCGTGGCCACGGGGGGGCGTGATGGACGGCGTGGACGCGGTCGACGTGCCGTGGCCCTCGGGCGCTGGGACACGACATGGGTAAGAACTCGAGCAGGCCTCCGGGCAAGTAGATTGGCGCGGTGTTCATCGAGCCAGAGCCTCCGTCGTGTGGCCGGATGAGGCGTCGCAATTTTGTGTTTCTGATCGCCACTGATTCGCCAGCGGAACTTTTGGCAAGGGCGAGTCACGCTCTGTCGGTGCGTGATCCGTCGCCTGCGCCGCCTCCCGTGCGCAACATTGGCACGCCCGCGCCTCCCTACGCGCCCCCCCGCGAGCTCGTACGGCCCTGCGCTCATCGTCGCTCGAATTAGGCCAGCGCTCATTGTCCTCGACGCCCTCGCTCATCAATCATGTCCGGGTGCGTCGCCAAACGTTCCTCGCGCGTCGATTCCAACGCGCCCTCGATTCCCTAATCTCAGGTCATCCAACAAGGACACGAACCCCTTCTTCAACACGGGCGGTGACGTCGAGCGTGCGAAGCGCGACGCGGTCACCGATGAGGTGAAAAACTTGCTCAAACTTGATTTGCGGACCCAGGTCGCTATCATGCTTGCGAGACGCGGCGACCGTCTGTATCAGCGTGTGATGAAATCAACCAACGCAGACGATTTAGCCAATTGCGCCTTCATGCGTCTCCACGAGGAGCTGCTCGCGCGCGAGTTTTTGGAGAAGCCGCGGAAGGTCGTCACGAAGAAGAAGAAGTGAAGGAGCTCGACCTCGCGTCGCGGGACGATGAGAACCACGACGCGTAAAGTGGGGAAGGACGCGCGCCTAAGCGACGGCTGCGCTCCGACGCCTAGGCGCTGGCCGGAGGTGGTCCATCGGCGCCCGCCCGGCGGGCCCCCAGGCCGCGGACCTTGCGAGAGCTCGAGCGCTCGGCCGGCAAGGAGAGCATGGTAAAATTGACGGCCCGTCGGGCAGTCGTGCTCGCCGCCAAGAGCACGCGAGAGAGTGTCGACCCGGGAACCCACTGTGCACCACAGTGAATCCTGCGGCGCGACGTGCTCGGCGGTTGTCGTGCGCGCGCTCGCGGGGTAACGACGACGGGCGCGTCGCGGCTCCTCATGTCGGGTCCGCGCCGGCGGCGCACGGCCGCGCGGCCGGGCTGTGGCACTACTACCCGCCCCCAGTGGACGCGCGGCGGCGGCGCCGCCGCTTCCGCGCCACCCGCGCGCATCGGCGGGGGTCGCTACGCCTTCGGCCGGCGCCTCGGAGATCGCGCGAGCGCACGCCGTCGGAGCCGCGCGCGCGCCGTCGAGCCCGCTGTGCCGGCGCGACGCGCGATGCGGCGGCGGGCGACGGGT